GGATTTCATACCTAGATAAAACAAGAGACTCAACTAAAAAAACTGTTTGAGCTAATAAATTTAAATGTAGTAAGGTGACTGGATCCAAGAAACCAAAAATTTAATAGTTTTTTTTAATACCTATAATAATCATTGAGAAATTGAAGCAGAAAAAATGTTCTATTTACAGTACATACAACAATTATTAAATCACTAAGAATAAATTATTAAATGTATTTAATCTACCAGACATCTGAAGAAAGTTGTAGAAGAACCCTGACCTTGAACTAGAGCTGACTAAATGGGAGACATACTCTATGCCCAGACAGGAAAGTGTAATCAAGTAGACTTGCAACCAGAATTCTGGCTTTTGTTTTTCTGAACTGGGCAAAATGATATTCAGAGTTCTTATTAAAGAATAAATATGGAAGAATCGCCAAGAAGAGTTTGAAAAGGAAGAATATTGAGGGGAGACTTTCATAAAAATTAAAATATTTATGAAGTTGCAGTAATGGAAAGTTACCACTGGCATAAGGATAGACAAACCAGTGTAACTAACATTCAGGAACAGACCTGAGAATATATGATAAATTTGGCTTATTATTGCAATAAAGAAGTTCAGTGTTTTTTTCTGTGTGTGTGTTTTAGTAGTGTTGATAATTGGCTATCCCTTTGGGAAGTCATAAAGATAGTCTTTGCTTATACTTTATATACAAGTAAATTCCAAGCAGACTAAAAAGCAAAACATAGAAATAAAAGGACTAAAAGAAAGTACAGAACATTTTTTACTCATTCAGAATATTAAAATTAAAATGTTTGATAATATCCAGTACTAGCAAGACTGGGAAAGTGGGTACTTTTTTTTCTCATGAGACTATGTTGTACAAACTTTTCACAAAATAATTTGTTGGTATATTTATATTTAGTTAGTTTATTTTTGAGAGACAGAGTGAGCAGGGGAGGGGGGAGAGAATCTTCAAGGAGGCTCCACACTATCAGCAAGGAGCCTGATGTGGGGCTTGACCTCACAAACCATGAGATCATGACCTGAGCTGAAACCAAGAGTTGGACACTTAACCGACTGAGCCACCCAGGCGCCCCTATTTTTAAAAAAGTGCCAACCTTTTTTACCCCCAAATTCTGAACTCATAGTAACATGAGTATTTAAGGATACCGATAAGAGAATTTTTTTGCAGTATTGTTTGTAATCAGAAAACATCATAGAGCGCCTGGGTGGCTCAGTTGGCTGAGCATCTGACTCTTGATTTCAGTGCAGGTCATGATCCCACGGTTCGTGGGATCGAGCCCTGTGTAGGGGTCTGTGCTGACAGCACGGAGCTTGGGATTCTCTCTCTCCCTCTCTCTGCCCCTCTGTGCTCTCTTTCTCTCAAAATAAATAAACCTAAAAAACCCCCTACATCATAAACAACTGTGAAACGCCCATTTGTGGAGGCCTGAGTGAATGAATTATAGTTTATCTGTTCAGGGGAATGGAGGCAGTGGAGCCGCTGAGAAGAGTGAGATGGATCTCAGTGAACAGAGCTGAAAAGATAACTGATTTAAAGTTCAAGAATAAGTTGTGTTCTGTGATCTGGGGTCTCACTGGCACTAAAGGTAGTTACAGTTTGGTGGAAAAGGAAGAGGATGGTTCATTCAGGTCACCACCTGCCCCAGGTGCATGGCTGTGGATGTACAAAGCTGACGAAGTCACATCCTCATGGTGGAGGATGACCCACGTGCAGCACCCTCGTGACAAGCAGAAGAAAATGCAGGAGCACAGACAGACTAATTCTCACAAGACAGACAGGGTTTGCAGCACGGGATGAGTTCTTGGGGGAGCAGCAGATACTTCTGGAAGAGAAATTGGAACTCTGAGGTAGAGTCCTAGATGATCCCAGGCCCCAGGCTGGGCAGTGCGGTGCGGAGAGGGCTCTGGTCGGGGCCAGAGCGCGGCCTCTCCCCTGCTCGGCACCATCCAGCTCTGCACCATCCAGCTCTGCTGTCAGAAGTTCTTGTCTCCGGGAGGCCCACAGTGCAAGCTTCCTCCCTCTCGTGCAGTTTCATCCATGGACCTCATGGTGGCAACTCTGCTCTTCTTCTTTATTTTTTTCTATCACTTCCACGACCCTTCTTCATTTCTCCTAACTTGGATTCCAGGGGCCATTGGGATTTGGAAGTTTTAGTGGAAGGCAAGGAAGTAGAAGTCGGGGAGGGGCATTCCTTTTGTCGCCTTCTGACTCTATACCTCTCCCCTGGGCAGACCCTCTTCTGGCTGTGCGCAAGTGCTCTCTCACCCTGGGCACACACCTGTCACCAGCTTGGCCTGGGCACCCAGTGGGGGACGGCTGCTCTCAGCTTCACCTGTGGATGCTGCTATCCTGGTGAGTTGGTCCCCACCCCTCTTTTGGCCATTTCAGCCCCCTCAGACGTGAGCCAAGAGCATTCTTCTCCAGTGGGGGAAAAGATCCCGGGGGAAGGAGGGGGCTAATTGTCCATTCAGTGTTAAACGTACCCAGGGAAGGAGCGGCACCATAGGAGCGGCACCATTCAGACTCTTCAGATTTAAAACTCTGCTTGCTGGGGCGCCTGGGTGGCTCATCCAGTGAAGCATCCAACTTTTGGTTTCGGCTCAGGTCATGATCTCATGGTTTTGTGGGATTGAGCCCGTGTCGGGCTCTGCACTGACAGCATGGAGCCTGCTTGCTATTCTCTCTCCACCCTCCTCTGCTTGCTCTCTCTCAAAATAAAGTTCTGCTTGCTATCACTGTACATATAAACCCATTCCCTCCTGTTTTAACAGTCCTTCCCTTGCTTCCTCCCCTCTCTGTGTCCTTGTACCTAGAGTTAGGGCAGCCCCTGTGACAGGATGGGGATGCTGGAGCGCCCGCTCACTCCCGCCCCTTCTGCCTAGGTATGGGATGTCTCAACAGAGACCTGTGTTCCCCTTCCCTGGTTTCGCGGCGGTGGGGTTACCAATCTGCTCTGGTCTCCGGATGGCAGCAAAGTCCTGGCTACCACTCCTTCAGCTGTCTTTCGGTGAGTGGGAGGAGAGCGGGGGAAGAGGGAAGGATAGGAACGACCCCGAGAAAGGCACTTGGTTCCTGGAACTTCCAGCAGGCAGAACCTTCTGTTCTGTGACCATTCTCTGATCTGGCCCTGGGACCGGCAGAGGGAGGGAAGTGCAAGTTTTGGAACCTAGAGGTCCTAGGCTGTGACCTGACTCTTTCCGGCGCAGAGTCTGGGAGGCCCAGATGTGGACTTGCGAGAGGTGGCCTACTCTGACAGGGCGGTGTCAGGTGAGAGGGGACTGTGATTCAGAGAGCAGGGGAGGAGGTGGGCCCCAGATCCCTCCAGCTTGTCTCCCTGCGCCCCCCCTACCGACCAGTGTTCCCCTACCTTTTGTTCCCTGACCCCAGACTGGCTGCTGGAGCCCAGATGGAAACCGACTGCTGTTCACTGTATTGGGGGAACCACTCATTTACTCCTTGTCATTCCCAGAACGTTGTGGTAAGTCAGGGGAAACTGCTCCGAATGCAGACTATCTGGGGCAGTCAGGGGGAGGCAGGCACCCCCTGGAATAGGCTACTCTGAAGGATAAAGCGAAGTAAAACTTGGGGGACTTGAGAGGTGTTGCGTACAATGAATGGGTGGGAGGCAGGCGACCAGTGAGAGGCCCTCTCCTGTACTTCAGAGCCTCTGCCCTTCTTGCAGGGGAGGGAAAGGGGCGCGTTGGAGGTGCAAAGTCAGCCACCATCGTGGCCGATCTGTCTGAGACAACAGTACAGACACCAGACGGGGAGGAAAGGTGAGCTGAATGGTGAGGGAGGGGCAGTGAAAAGGTGGAGGGACCACGCTGAACCCTCCCAACCTACTGTTCTGACCCACAGGCTTGGGGGAGAGGCTCACTCCATGGTCTGGGACCCCAGTGGGGAACGTCTGGCTGTGCTCATGAAAGGTAAGGGTTGGGGAGGAAGGACTTTGCTCGGGCCACAGCCATCTTCCCATTAATGGAGGGTGTCCTGTGTCCAGGCTGGAGTTCTCTGCCCTGCCCCGGGATTCTGCCTGTAGGGTGCCTTCCTGTCACACCCATTTCTTACAGGAAATCCACGCGTCCAGGATGGGAAACCAGTCATCTTCCTTTTTCGCACTCGAAACAGCCCCGTGTTTGAGCTGCTTCCTTGGTAAGTGCCTGTTAGGCCATCAGGTCTGGACTCCCCACCCTAGCCTTCCCACACCAAACCACATCCTCCTCCGCTGCCCGGCGGCCTGCTCACCTTCCTTTCCTAGTGGCATCATCCAGGGGGAGCCAGGGGCCCAGGCGCAGCTCATCACTTTCCATCCTTCCTTCAACAAAGGGGCGCTGCTCAGTGTGGTGAGTAGGCCAGGCTGCTGGGTTCGGGAGTGGGGCGGAAGAACCCAGGGCTTTGGCTACTGGGTGGCCCCGCTCTGCGGCCTTCTTTAGGCTTCAGCTCTGATAAGATTTCTCTTGTCCTTCTCTGCAGTGTTGGTCCACAGGCCGAATTGCCCACATCCCTCTGTACTTTGTCAATGCCCAGTTTCCACGTTTTAGCCCAGTGCTTGGCCGAACCCAGGAGCCCCCAGCTGGGGGCGGAGGCTCTATTCATGATCTGCCCCTCTTTACGGAGACATCCCCAATCTCTGCCCCGTGGGATCCCCTCCCCGGGCCACCACCTGCCCAGCCCCACTCCCCTCACTCCCACTTCTGATAATAATAATAAATTCCCCTCGTTGTTTTCCACTTAGTTATGAGACTTTTTTCCAGGGAGGTGCATTGGGGTCTAGTGAAAGAAGGCATGGACTTTGGGTTAAGATGGCTGTGTCGCTTTTTAGGAGTTTGGTCAAATTATTTATCCTTAGGAACTGGGTGGTTTTCAAACGATTTGGAAGCAACGTGGAGAAAATATCTACTGTGGGCTTTGGCATATAATAAACATTTCACTTTTCCCAAGTTTCAGCAGGTTCCCAAAAGGGTGCAGGGCAATAATGGGGCAAGGACTGGATCAGTATGAGACAGAGAGCATTTTATTGGACTAGGAGATTTGTAGGAGGCGTTGGCGCTGGGCCAGGGTGGCACGGGCCATGCTCAAGGCACCCTCTCGGGTGTGGTGCCCACCAATGAAGCCACTGGTGTGGACAAAGATGCAGCCAGGAATCCCACTGACCTGGTCCAGGGCCTCATCCCGAAGTCCCCGCCAGGGTTCTGGCAGGGGCAGCCTGTAAGTAAGCAGAAAGCGGAAGTTGGTGGGAGCAAATGCAGGCCTCGAGGAGCAGAGAGCGGTGGCACAGAAGAGGCCCAGCCTAGCAGCCCCCGCTGCTAAAGGGCTGAAACAAGCCTGCAGGGCGGTCCTTTAAGGGCCTTACCGGCTCTGGAATGAGTGGGGCTCCTTGGGCACACACTGTACCCGCCACTGTCCAGCCTGGTCAGTGTAGATAACAAAGGTGATGGTCGCCGGGGGTGACATCCCAGATTCCAGGTGGTAGAGGTGATCCTTCCAGGGGCATCCACCTTTTGCCAGTTCTACTATCTCTCCACTTGGGTCCACCTGAAAGGAGGTGTGGCTGGAAGCGGGAGCCCCGCCGACCAGCAGCTGGCCAGCAGTCACTAATCTGTGAACCACAGTGCCTCCTCCCAGGCCTGTACCTGGAATCGCTGGGCCAGGGCCTCTTCCACCAAGGCCCGGGCTGGCAGCCAGCTATGCTGGTAGAAGTCTACTCTCTGCAGAAACTCCTCGCGAACCAGATCCATCGCACGCTTGAACCCGGCCTGGGAATCGGAGCCAGAACCATGGTGCCAGCCTCAACTTTTGACTTTGCTAGGACTGGAAGAGGCAGCCACTCTCATTTCCTCCCCCAAAATACTTACGTGCCTCACAGTCCCTTCCCCCGAGGCTCTCCTTACCTCCGTGTCTTGGTTGGGCTGGTTCCATGTAGGGTTAAGCCGAGCAACCCGGGCACTCAGTGTGGTGGTTAGCGCGTATCTAGGCTCTCCCTCCTCCCACTGGGAGATCCCATTGTCCACCGCATCCACCTCCTCCACGAAGTTCTCGTACATCTAAGGCAGCAGCAGGAGAAATGCTGAGGGCACCTACCACTTGCATAAAGGTGTCTAGGTCTCAAAGTCTGTGCACGCACCGTTTCATTTAATTTTTCCAACAGTCCCATTAGACCTCTCAATGTTCACTGGATGAACAACGGGGGAACTGGGGAATTCAGCAGCTTAAGGTCAGGCTAACCGTGCTGGGGGCTGGTATTCAGATCATCTGACTTCTAATCCAGCACTCCCTCCACTACCCTGCAGAGCATGAATCAAGGCCAATGTGTGTGGGGTGGGGGCTGCTGACTTCAGAACAAGGAAGGTCTCAAGTTCCACGAGGGGACCTGTGGGAGTGGACGGATCTCTGGCTGAGAGCAGGTGAGTCTCTGGGTGGGTTAAGTAGGCTATTCAGTGACCTGGTCAATGAAGTACACAGGGGTGTGGCCAAACACAAGTCAGGTGGGAGAGAGAGTGCTGGGTGAGACACAGGAGCTGGGATGTGGTCCCTGGGAAGCCCAGGCTGTGTCACGCGGTGGGAACAGAACAGCAGCTGTATCTCTGGAGCCTGTGGAAGTGGCAGGACAGCGCCTCAAGAGTCTGGGGGTAGAAACAATAGGCTACAACACCAACGCGTTTGCGGTTTGCAGAAAAGCACTGTTTTTGGGGAGAGCCGAGAAAAACTATGCCAGCACCTCTTGGTCTGGGCCCCAACACGATGCTCAGTTAAAACTTGGCGTAACCTACTGTAATCACTGAGAAACCCCTCAGCAGAAGGAAGACTGACCCACGCAGTCTAAAACCAGTATTCCTAAAGCTCTAATCCAGCCATTCATTATTTCTTCACTTGTTTGGCTCATGCTCCTGCTGTGTCACAGGGGCACATGACAGGCAAACTGAGACAGAGTGAACTCAACGGCCTCTGCAAAAATCAGAGTTGCCTAAATCTGAAGTTTGACTTATTTTTTTTAATTTACTTATTTTGAGAGAGAGAGTGTGTGTACATGCATGAGTTGGGGAGGGGAAGAGAGAGCAAAAAAGAAGCCCAAGTAGGCTCTAAGATCAGTGCAGAATGCAACTCGACATTCAGTCTCTCAAACCATGAGATCATGCCCTGAGACAAAATCAACAGTCCACCGCCCACCTGACTGAGCCACTCGGGCGCTCCTGAAAAGTTTGACTTGTGAACTTCATAGGAGTGGGGCCAAGTAGATGTCCTCAGAATCCCTGTTTGATGTGACGTGCGCGCCAGGACGAGTGGCCCCATTCCTTCCCCACAGCAGGAATGTGTTGAGCTGCTTGCAGGGGATGCGGATGGATCCTGTAGATGTTTTCATAATCCGACCCCTTCCAGCTGAGCTTCCCAATTCATGCGTCCAAGATCTGCTCCCTCCCCCCTCAGGGCAGCCAGAACCTCTAAGCCTTATACTCCCAAAGGTCCCAAATCCTAAATCCCAAACATAAGCAGCCTCCTCTATTGCCAAGTTGTGCAACGATTGCCTATGCATGTTGGGTCAAGAAAAGGACCAGGAAATGCTGCTTTATGGTTTCCAAAGCCCTTCCCCAAACACCACCTCATTCTCACAACCCCCCCAGGATAGAGACGGGAGAGCCTAACCATCTCCTTGTGAGATGAGCCTGAAGGAGAGGGTGCTGGGCTAGCTCTGGGCCAGGAATCTTGACCGGAGGCCCAGTCCCAGCTGGTGGAGATACATATACGGGTCATCTCTGTCCTTGGATCCCCACCTTGTCATAGATGGTGTCCACCGTGCTGTCCTCTTCGTCAGCGCCCAGCAGTTGGGCCAGCAGCTTGTGCCCGAAGTGCAGATAAACGAGTCCCGCACTGCTCAGCTTTGTCTGCCATGGCTTCCCAGGCGACAGGGAGCTCATGGTCTCTGTGAAAGACCTGAGGAGCACAAAGAGGCGGGGCTGAGGCACAGCTGCCTCAGTAAACCCAGTGTGCGCGTGCGCAGGCACAAGTGGGTGAGGACGCTGGAGCTGGGAGGACAAAGCCCAGCTGTGAAGGCTTCAGCTTTTTCTTGGGGTTCAACATGGACCTCAGCCTGGGGTCCCCATTCATGCATGCATTCAACAATAGTTTACTGAATGCTTATACATGTCAGGTATTGTGTTTTAGACATTAGGGATTAAAAAAAAAGACCTAAGACAATGTCCCTGCCTTCAAGTTCATCTACTAAAGGCAGACAAGCACACAAACAACTAAGTGAATGCTCTAGCTACATTATAAACAAATATAAGGGGGGAGGAGGAAGGAGTGTGTTCAGGCTAAAAGATGAACTAGTAGGTGTCGCCAGCCAGACAAAAGGTGAAGGAGAAAAGGCATTCCCGGCAGATGGAACAGCATGTAGAAAGGCTAAGAGCCAGATGTTTTCATGGAACTGCAGGAAAGGCGGCTTGGATGTGAGGAGCGGCAAAAAATAAGCTGAAAGAGTCAGCAGGGCCAGGTCGTGGCAGGCCCCATCTGCCATATCCTGGAGCTTGGACTTGATCTGTAGGTAGTGGGGAGCCACCGAGAGACTTTAAGCGGGCAAGTGCTTGTAGAGCCCTGTGCCAGCCAGCACACAGAGACAAATGCAAGATTACCTGCAGCGCTGGAGGTGAGTGAGGACGGCAGGAATCTGAATTCTCAGTAGCACAGAGAATAGGGAAAAGGTAGGACAGTTCTTGGGGAAAGAGAAACCACAGCTGTAATTTCTAACTATCCGTTCATCATAAGTTTTTTGTTTCAGTGTTCTTTATTATTAGTGAGTAAATGCAAAAATAGTTATAAAATGCCTAAAATTACCAACAAACAGTAACTCCCTCAGATAAAAGTTCAAGAAGCAGCAAACCTAAATTGTTGATAGAAACAGACGTGCTGAACTACACAGAACAAAGGCATGATGGACACAAAATTAAGGATGCTGCTTGCTTCTGGGACACAGGGGGATGGGCGGGGAAGAAGTACTTGGGCACAGACACAAAGGTAATGGTAATGTTCTAGTTCTTAGGTTGGGAGACTGGTTCTTGGGTGTGCATTACAGGTTTTATATTCCAAAAATGTATATTCTTTCATGTATCAAATACTTCATCATTTAAAAAAAAAAGTGTATATAAAATCAGAAAAAATTAGTCAATACTGTCAAAGGCCACAAAGAGGTCAGGTAAAGTGAGCCCTTCAGCCAGCAACCTGAGTTTGGTGTTGAGGTCACTGGTGCCCTTTCCATGAGCACTGCCAGGGGAGAGACTGGGAGAGGACCGGCTAAATGAATGAATGGAATGACCTGGAAGGAAGGTGGAGGGAGGGTCGGCTCTTCTTTTGAAGACAGGCTTGGAAGGGAGGGTAGGAGATGAGGCTATAAATACCATGAGGGTTCCCACATTCATTTATGAATGTAGTATGAACACTTAGAAACGAAGTGAGAGGGGCATTCACTTTCAAATGTCCCCTCTGTAAAGACAGCTTTCATATTATTATTCCCTTCTAATCTTATACTCTAACAAACTTTTGCCTGCTGCTTTAAAAAAAAAAAAAAAAAACCGAGGGAGAGAAGTACTTAAAGAGAATGAAAATAAAACATCCTCATAATCTCTCCGCGATCACCACTTTAAACAGTGCGGTGCATATGAGGGAGGGTTTTGTTTTTCGTTCACTTCTTTGACTTCCAGACGGGAGACGGCAGGACAGAGTGTTAGGTTGCAGGCAAAAAGCAGCAGAAGCGCGGGGGTTGTCGAGAACGGTGGTCTCGACCCCGAGGAAGAAGCAGTAACATCCGGAAAGGGGCGAACAGAAGGGAGTGAGTTTCCTGAGCTGGAAGGAGGGAGCTGAGGATGCCCGGGAGTGGGAATCTGAGGGCGGGCCCGCAGGAAAGGCTCAATTTCCTTAGAAAAGCGGGAGGCAGGAGGGAGCTGGAGGAGGCAGGGGCCTGAGGAGAGGGGAAGGGGGCTGGACTGGTCCTGCGGACAGCGGGCTAGCCTCGGAAAAGAAAGATTTCCCAGGGGAAGAGTGTCAAATGAAGCGGAAGACCACGCACGTCTAAGCTGTCACCAACCACGGGCAAGGACTGATCAGAGCTGGGGGACCGGCAGAGGGAAGGCGGCCAGTCGGGAGGGGCGAGAGGCGGGCCCGGGAGCCGGGCGAGGCGCGAGGCCAGGGGGACGGCTGCAGGCCCACGGGACTCGGGAGTCCGCCGGCAAGGATAGGGCGGTTCCCTCCGGCGACACGGGGCGGAACCCCGCGGCGGACAGCTGCCTTGGAGCAGAGGGGCGCCCCAGTCAAGGGAGGTCAAGAAACGGTATCTGGCAGCTCACCTCTGGTGATGGTCATATCGGTGTCTCTGCGGGTCGTACTCGCCACCCACGTCTACCACGATGTCACAGGCAGCCAGTTTTTCGGGGTCCCGGGTCCGCACGATCTCTGCGTCCTGCGAGGGACAGGGGAGGTGAGGGGAAGGCCGGGGGCGCGGCCCACCCCGGAGGCGCTTTCAGCCGGCCGTACCCGGTACTCGGGCAGCAGGCGCAGCAGGGCGCACGCCAGGGCCTCATCGCAGTGAAAAGTGCCGTTGTGCGTCCCGATGCGCGGTGGCGCCATGCGGCTGCCGCGGGCTCGCTTGGACGGCGGGGCGGGCTCCAGGCTGAGCGTCCGGGGCCCGGCCCGGAGGGCGGGCGGACGCAGCAGCAGCAGCCGCCGCCGAAGGCGAGGGAGAAGACCGCGCAGGAAGTGGTGGCCCATGCGGCCTCCCTCTGGAAAGGGATTGGGGGGGGGGGGGGGGGGGGGGGGGGGGGGGGGGGGTCGCCGACCCGGAAGAGGAAGCGTCCGCGCAGCTCCACTTCCGCTGGGCCGTTCCCATGGCAACCGCCGCAAAAAAAAAAAAACAGCGCCGTGTAGGGCTTCTCCCCAACTCCCCCGCCCAAGGCCCAGGGCGGAGCCTCCGAGATAAGCACTGCCTCACCCCTACAGAGCTGGCTCTGGGGAGGGGCACAGCGACTAGACCATGGCCCTCCAGGCTCACCACCAATCCTTTGCTCAATGCAAGAAAAGACCAATATTCTGCCCAGCCGGCACATTTATTAGCATGAAAACACCAGACCCCTCTCTTCCTTGACCCCAGGAAGCCACGCCCACAAAGTCCCAGGCTCCTTGAAGCAGGGTCCATCGGCCCCATTTCTGAAACAAGCTCTCAGGCCTTGGCAGTAGCCTGAGCTGCCCCCAGGGCTGTAAGCTGCTGAATCTTCTGGCTCATCATCTCCATGACAGCTGCGGAAACAAAGAAGAGTCAGACCCCCGTGTGGAGCGAGACGGGAGAACCCACAGTTCAGTTCAGGAAACGTGAGGAAAAAATCAAGGACAGGTAGAGAACCAAGTACAGTTCATAAAACTTTAAACACAGTGATTCACTGGGGGACGCACACATACTGAGAGTCTACCGTGGTCAGCAAAGATGATAACCACTGGGACATAAAGATGAACAAAATGAACAAAATACAGTATTAAATGCTTCAAACAACGAGAAAATTACTCTGTGGACAAGAGTTTTGCCTTCAGAAGAAGCGCTCTCAATCCTGATTGTAACAGAAATACGTGGGGAGCTTTTAAACAAACACTGGCCCCCAGAATCCCCACATCCCCAGGCTGACTTAACTGGTTTGGGCTGTACTCCGGCTTCCTTTATAAACTTCCTGGGTGATTCTAATGTCTAGCCAGGGTTGCAAGGGCTAGTCCTTAGTTCCGGCTGTATTTCTTTCCTAGGTGTTCATTTACCCGTATCATTCTCCCATCCCCCATTAAAGAGGAACTTGCCACAAAAAAAAAAAAAAAAAAAAAATAGGATTTCCTTCTTCTAAAATTCTCAAGCACCCAACCCAGGAATCTACAGTGAGTATGTAATGCACAGAATCTAGAGAATGCTACATATGGACATCAAAGAGAAGGGCATGGCTTCAATCTGGAGAAGGGGACATCCCCAGTTCATTCCATGTTCGTTATGGAGGTAGAAAGGGTGAAGAGGTGGCCCAGGCCAAGCTTACCCTGTTTCATGGCATGCTTCTCCTGCAGGGCTGGCTGGATTTTCTCCATCTGTTTGGTGAGGAAGTCGATCTTCCTCTTGAAAAAGTCCTTGGCATCCTCAGCTGTCTGCAAGGGCAGAGTGAATGGCTAAGGGGAGGCCCGATGTTGTACTCTAGCTCTTCCCCTAAACTTCCTGTCCCTGCTCAGAGGGGCATCCACGTGGTTACTTCCACTCACCTTTTCTACATAGTAGCCTGTTCCCACATCGATGAGGACATGTTCCACATCATGTAGCTTCCCAGGGACATACATCTGAGAAGCAAGGATTAAGGGAAAACTAGCCCAGCGGGAGTCATGATTCCTTGTCAGCTAACCTGCTTGGCCTTCTTTTCTAAAAAGCTACAAGGCTCAAGGACTGAAGAATCTGGAAGCCTCAGAACAATGCCTAGCCACTCCAGATGGGGAGGGACAGAGAACTCGGTGCCTTATGGAGAAAATGGCATATGCTGGAAACACCCTCCTTCCCTGATCCCATCTCCCATTCTCCATGCAGTTCTCAGAATTCTTCCCACCAGCCTTTCCAGAAGGACTGCATACAGTATTTTCCTACTGCTGTGGAGTCGTAAAAGTGAAAAGCTGGCCTCAGGGCACCTGGGTGGTTCAGTCAGTTAAGTGTCCAACTTCAGCTCAGGTCATGATCTCATGGTTCATGGGTTTGAGCCCCTGCATGAGACTCTGTGCTGACAGCTAGAGCCTGGAGCCTGCTTTGGATCCTGTGTCTCCCTCTCTCTCTCTCTGCCCCTCCCCTGCTCAGGCGCACGCGCTCTCGCTCTCTTTCAAAAATAAAACATTAAAAAAAAAAAGCCAGACCACTTTCCCTTAACAGCCCCAATCACAAAATCACTAGCTAATTCCTAATGGACTCAATGGTACGTGGCCAATCGCTACTACACTACTTCTGTTGTTTTCTTTGCAGCCTGTCAGTTCTCAGCTTACAGGTGCCCTATTGTCATAACTCACTCATTCAAGTAAAACAATGCAGATTTCTTAGTAACAACAGTTTGGAAATAGCCACTGGTAAGCCAACATTGAGGATTCATACACAGAGCCGACCCCCTTGTTTCTATATCCTGCTATTCTTCTATCGTCTATGTCTTCTAAGTTATTAGTAAAAGTGTAAACACACCCGTTTTGCCTTCATATTAGAGGATATTCTCAAAACAGCAAAGGGAAATAATCACACCTTAATTCTACATATGGCTTGGTGCTCACAAAGCATTAGCTGGGGGGCAGCTGGGGGGCTCAGTCGGTTAAGCGTCCGACTTCGGCTCAGGTCATGATCTCACGGTTTGTGGGTTCAAGGCCTCATCGAGCTCTGTGCTGAGGAATAGCTCAGAGCCTGGAGCCCGTTTCAGATTCTGTGTCTCCCTCTCTCTCTGACCCTCCCCTGTTCACGCTGTCTCGATCTCAAAAATAAATAAAACTTAAAAAAAAAAGCATTAGCTGGATGTTGGCCCCAGGTTAGGAGAGGTACAAAGTGTGTAAAATAAGAGTGTTCTCAGAATCATGAAGACACGCTGGAGTAATCGAAACTTATCCCATCCTTTCCCCCCACCCTTCTCCGGAAGACTGGTGAGAGACAAAGAGAGGGCAGGGTGGTAGTTTCTGTGGAAAGGATACAGAACTCGTCAGTGGGACGAGTAATTCTTTCCCTGTGAAAGCAATTAAGACAAACATCTGGGGAAGGGTAAGACGTTAAAGGGAGTTGCAGTGGGGCACAGCGCAGAGATAGCAAGAAAAGAACGGAAACGGGACAAAGGGAGCAGAGGAGTGTCCTGTACATTTCGACTCTCGGCAGGCAACATGCAAAGTGCTCGTGTAGCGGTATACAATACGTGGTGGATTGCTATCTCTTCTCAGGTAAGGACAACTAGATTAGAAGGCGGGGCGAGAGTAGCCGGCTCACCACATCCCCCATGTCGCCTTCACGCGCCTACCCCATACCCTCGTTGTTCTTGTTCAGCACGTTCAGACAGTCCTTGGCTTCCACGTACTTGGTCTGTACCACCTTGAGCTGGGCAATGGACGTGGACAAGAACTCCACTTCCTGCGGAGGACGGGAGACCGGGTCAGTCTGGGTGCTGGAGAGAGAGGAAAGCACTGCCGCAGAGGGGGCTGGTCCTGGGATGGCGTGGGGGTTTCGCAGGGGAAGGCGAGCATCCCAAAGAGGAGAGGAATGGGGGCGAGGGAGTACGCGTGGGCAGAAGGGATGTGAGGCGGGGAAGGGGTGTCGGCCGCCCGTCCCCACCTGGTCCAGCTGGTTCTTGAGCATCTCTAGCTGTGGCAGGTTCAGCTCGGTGATGTTAACTGACTGCGCCATGTTGGGAAGGAGGACTAACGAAGCGGAAGCCGGCTGGGCGAGCAACGCTCTAGCCGCCCCCTGCGCATCTCGATGGATGCGCCTGGAGGCCTCGCTGCGCCGAACATCTCTATGATCCTCCATCCCGGAAGAGAGGGGCTGGAGTCTTTAACTTTAATGGGAGAGAGTGGCCTATGATTTTCACAAAACCTCACCCGCCTCTTATAGTAAAATTGTTGCAAGCAGGCCTCCTACCCTCGAGGAACTTAATGAAAATCTTAAAAATATCCAGTTAGTAATAATATTGCAAAGTAATATATGCTACTCCACGTGGGTAGTATAAGCATAGTGAATGACAGGTAAGGAAGGAGGCTGGTGCTTTGGGATCACAAAGGGTCTGGTGATGGAGAGAATAAGGAGACACGTTATCAACTAATAAGTACAGTACAAGGTTTATTAACCAAAACGATGTTTTACCATGTGTTAGATGTGAGGGATACACGAAAGTGGAAGATAATGTGCTTCTGAGGAATTTAACAATCTAGTTGGTGAGAGAAAGAACATAAATAGCAGAATTCCAGAGAATCTACTGCTGACGTGCACGGCCCTGACAAGTGTAACAGGCATGTGTGGGGAGAGAACAAGAGCCTCTAGTATCCACTTGGAGCCAGACAGAGCAGCTGAGGCGTTAAAGCTAGTGTTACTCCCAAGATACCTGAGCGCAGAAAGAGGACATACATGATGGTACCTGGCCAAGACACTCTCAATGGGTCTATTTTCCACCCTTCCTGAAGCCTCTGTCTCGACTTATAACAGTTTTCTTTTCTTTTCTTTCTTTTTTATTTTTTTGCCGGGGGTGGGGTGTGGGGGTGGGCAATGGAGAGAGACAAAGAATCTCAGATAGATTCCACACTCAGTGTGGAGCCTGACTTGGGGCTCCACCCACGACCCTGGGATCAAGACCTGAGCCAAAAATCAAAGGTCAGAAGCTCAACTAACTGAGCCCACTCAGGCACCCCCCACCTAAGAGCATATTGATACCCCTCTTCATCTTTGTCTGCTGAGGCCAAGCCAGGCCCACCTTTGTCCTGTGGTTTTACCTTTCTTCTTAACACTCTCAGACTTGGACTCCTGCAAGCTATTCTCTCTTTATCGTACCACATAGTGGGAGGGAGCAATAATCTTGGCTTCAGATGTTCTCAGATGAACCACACAAAACACAGGGTTTAAGTGCTACATCTTTATTATATTAAGGTTAAATTAAAAGGAAATATTTCATATAAAACACTGGAAAAGTAATTTAAAATATTTATCATAAGGGTTAAATCTAAGAAGAGGAGGTAGAACAGTCACATGGCTTTTATCTGTGATAGGACAGTCCCAAGGGCT